GTGAAGGAAAGCTATGAACTATAAACATGCTTCCAATTATATGTTTTTTAAATATTGCCTAGATTTAGGAGCTGGTTCTTCCACAATTAGACTACTACTTGCAGGACCACTCAGTCCCAAGCTTATGAAAAACAAGACCAGTGAGGAGGGGTCTGGGGATTGCTGCTTCTGCCCCTCAGCTCCACCCCTACCCCTTTTAGAGGGAGTGTGTGTGAGAAAATATTAAAGAGGTATCTGTTGTTTGGCAATTTTGCTAAGTCTGTCTTCACTGTTGCGATGCTGTGCATTTGCAGATTTGGAGGCCTGGCCATTGACAAGCTTGCTGCATACACCTGCAAGCAATTTGCCGGCTTCGGTACCGGAGAATTGCAGAGATGGCAGCTCGCACCTATTTGATTTTTTTCCCCTTTTCTCAATGCACAGCAAATTTGGCTTTCAGTGCGTTATCTCTTTTGTTAATGCAAAAAGATTCCCTGGGTGAAAAAATTGCTCATAATTACCAGAGAGATGGGGAAACTGCATTAGAATAAATAAACCTGAAATTACTGTAATTATGTTGTGTTTGATGGGCCCGGCTTGTAATCAAGAAGAGAATACAGTGAAATGATGCTGACCCTCTTGGGTTTGCAGCTGTACGCGCACTTTGGGGTCTTTTTTTGCAGAAAAGAGTCATTTTGATAATCATTAAGCTGTGTGTAACCTATTTCAGAAGTGTTTTAAAATGAGGTTCACATTTTTTGAACAAGGGGGAAAAAATCCCAAAATTGCATTTTGCCATTACAGACTCATACATAAGGAAAGGTTGTGTTTTCTAAGTGACAATTGTTAAGACATAATATTCGAAATCAGTATTTAATCATTATAATGAGGTATTGTTTAAATATAACCACCTTTAGATTATTCATAGTTTAATTAATATACTCATTATGAAAATCTTTGAATCAGATATTTGATGAACTACTTGTCAGTAACAGGCAGCATTAATTAGTCCTATATTGAGATTAACATTTTTAAAAAGTACAACCGTTTATAATTATAATAGAGCCTAACTAAAGACCGCCTTCGTTGAGCTAAAACTAATAATTTCTCTATTTGAACTGTTAGCAAGAGATTATTAAATTAGTATAAGCTAATATCTTAGAAGTATTAAAATCCGCTTGACCAAATAGATTTTTGCCTGTGGCTTCAGGCGTTGGGACCTGGCTGCTGCACCCGAGTCGGATGCGTGAAAGAAATCCGCTAAAACCTTCCAGCCGGCAAGGTCACATTTCGAAGGGAAAACCAAATGCAGGAAGCTCCCGGCCCCCGCGCCGGAGTCCAGCCTAGGAGATCAGTTCCCCATCTCAGCCTTGACGCCCATCCTCCCGTCTGCAACCTGGTCTCGAGATCTCATCTCCCCCATCAGGGCTCCAGGTTCTGGGGGACTGCGGGTGAGGAAAACTCTAGTCTCAGACTCAGAAGGGGCCTCAATATCCCCTGCTCCATCCCACATATTCTCCCCTGCTTCCTCCATCACACCCCTCCACCACTTCCCCTCCCCTTCCAAAAGGGCGTCGAAAAAGCCTGGCGCATCTGATCTTTCACCAGCACCAATTGAAAAATGGGTGCTTGTCACAACACAGATCATTGCCTTCCTCGCTGTGCTCCCCACCGCGCGCTGCGAAGGGCCCCCCAAAGGCGGAGGGCCAGTGCCCGGGGGGAGCAGGGTCGGAAGGCAGTGGGAGAGAGGCGGAAATCGCTCAGAACAGCGGGTCGGGGACCTCAGCTTTCTCGAGCTTCCACAGCTAGGCTGCGAGGTCTGAGGCTGAGGTTAGGATGCGGCGCTGGGCCACAGGGCGGAAGGGGCCGGGTTGGTACCAGCTGCTCGGAGCCCAGGTTCTCCGGCGAACTGATCAGAGCGGTCCGTTGGAGGTGGCCCCTGAATGGCTTGGCCTCGGGGCTTGGCTGCGGAGGGAGGGCCTTGACCTGGCCAGCTCCCGGTTCCATCGAGTTCGAGGAGCTTACTCTCTCCTCCTTTGGCATTTCCATTTCGAGGCGCGGACTTGAGGCGGGAATGGGCCTCTCGTCGTTCTTGGGCCCCCGGTGGGTGGGAATGGCTGTGGAGGAGCCCGGTGGCGCCTTGGGACTGTCCTGCGCAGCTCACTGATTGATTAGGGGGTGTGTGCTGACGGACGTGTCCTTCCGGTCCTTTTCGGGGCTGTCTTTTCCGCGTCGGGATCCAGAGCCCTCTAGCAATCAAAAGCCAAAAGCCGGGAGAGCCAGATCCCCGCGGAAGCGACTGGCAAAGCCGGTGTCTTCTGCTTCCAGGCCTCCAAGTCTCCTGCGAGGTGACCGGGGTGTGGGGATGTTACTCAAGGCTCCCAGAAAGGCTGCCTTTGAGCTCTGCTTTCGTTTCCTCTCAGCCGGCCTTCACAGTTCCTTTGGTTCCTGAGACCCAGCTCTGCCAAACCCCACCTGTTCTTGATTCCCCTTCCCAAAGACACTTGCCAGACACTCCCCACCCTTCTATCCTGATAGGGATCAGGCCCCTTAGGGGCTGGAGCAAGGCCAGAGGAAGCGTATCAGAGGGGCCTGTTATCCTGGTATGTCTTGAACCAGGAGTCGCTGTTTCCAGAGGTGGGGAGCCTGTCCTGTCCCCTAGCACCCCCTCACACAGAACACCAGCCAGCAGTTCTTTCTCAAAACCATAATTTTACTGTCTCAAAGAAACTTTATAACTTATTTACAAAGTTCTTTTTTTTCCAAGATACAAAGCAATAAGTTAACATTCTCAATATAAAACTAAACTTTGACATAGAGAACACAAGACAAGGTTGATTTCAATTGATCACATTTTCCAAATTTCACAAGTAAAATGTCAAGATTCTCATTTCACAAAGCATCAGGTTTTACAGCCACACAACAGAATGGGAAAAAAAGCTAAGCTTGTGCAACATGTTTACAGAACAATAATAACAATAATAATTAATAATAATATGTACAGCGATTAGATCCTGCACTGGAGACTGTGTGTGTCCAGGTGGTGACTGGCATTATTTTGTGGAGGAGCCTCTGGGGATTCTAGTAAAGCTGCTTTTGTCTTACTTTAAAGCCCACTAGCATTTGGGAACTCCCTAATGTTTGCCAATTCTCTTTCCACTGCCCATGGGTCCTCTTTCTCTCCAAGAAAGGAATTAGATTTTCTTTCTTGTCCAGGCAGAGACCAAGCGTTCTTCCCAGGATGAGAAAATTGTGTTGGCTTCCTTATCTTTCTTGTTTTATTTAAAAAATAATATGGGGCACGTAAAAAATGCAGGTCATTCGGCTCCAACTTCTCCATAACAGCGACGTATAAAAGTTACTGTATAAATTAAAAATCACCAGGTCCTCCTTATTCATTTTTCTGAGTGCATTGAAAGCAATAGGTACTTTTGGACGGTGCGTTCCTCACACCCCACAGAACTACAAATTGGCCCACATGCAGCCTCAGGTGAAGTTCCATTTCTCAATAAATAAAACCTCCTCCCTCTAATTTCCCCCACTTCCAGAATGATATACTCAGATGGTTAGGCAGGCCCAGGAGAAGGTCCCAGTATCCGGAACTGGACGGCCCTGCGAACCGCACACCTCTTCTGACCTGGTGACTTTTTTTAGAGGCCTCAAAAGTGAAGACAGCGACGGACGAGGACCTCGACTTCGTCAGCGCACAGACACACGCAAAAGGAGACAAGAGACAAACAGGACAGAAAAGATCTTTGTTTTTTCTACATTGTTTTTTGTTTTGTTTTGTTTCCTGATAGTCTCACAACTGAGAGTCGGCGTGTCGTGTCCAGCAGGCTCGTCTTGCTGCTCTGGCTGTCTCGGGTGGCTTTGCCTGCGCTCGGAGGCCACTCTGTGGTCACCGCGCGGCCCAGGCCGGGGTTCCGGTGAGGGTGTGGGCGTCAGGGAAGTGGCCAGTGCAGACCGCAGGGGACGCCCGAGGAGGCAGCGGGTGTCCCGCCTTCACTGTTGCTTCTTCTTTCCCTCTGGGCCCTTCCAGGGGCCCAGGGCTTGCGGGCGGGGTGGATGGAACGGGAGGCGGGTGGGGCCCGGGCCGGGGGAAACGGGAAGGAAGCGGGAGGACATGGGCGGGCAACCTCACATGAGCTGGGGTTGCTGCATAGCTTCTTGGTGCGCCGAGGGGTACCACGACGTGTAGCTGGGGATGTACGAGCCTGCGCTGCCACCTGAGCCCTTCCCGGAGGAGTTGGGGTTCCAGCCCGGCGGCACCGGCGGGGAGCCGGCAGACAGAGCCCGGCCGTTGGCCAGAGCGCTACCGTCCAGAGCCGCCCCGCCCTGCTTCATCAGCTTCTTGAACTTGGAGCGCTTGTTCTGGAACCAGATCTTGACCTGCAAGAGCGGACAACAAGGTGACTCGTCTAGGCCCGTTGTGCTTACTGTGGTCATAGGGACAGGAGGAGGCTGTGCCAGAGCAGAGGGGGGACTCCCTCTTGCGGCCCTACGCGCCTCTGCGGTTGCCAAGAGCAGAGCCCCACTGCCGTGACCACCACTACTGAGAACCAAAGGCTGGAGACCCTGCCGCCGGTCTCCCGTGGCCTACAAGGTCAACTGTCAGAAAGCCTGGGAGCCTGGTGGCGAGGGGTGAGCTGGGGATCCAGGCTTTGGCCCCGGGGTACTCAGCCTGACCCTGACAATCGTCTGGGGAAGACGCAGCGCCTGTACACCCTTCATTTCCAATGTGAGCATCAATAAAAAATGCGAGTGGAGGAAAGGAGTAGAGGAAATTTATTTGCAACACGCCCCGCCTTCTGTGTGCACCATCCTTTCTATCCTTGAGTGAGTTGGGGCCTGACTGAGGAGGCCACAGGGTTTTGTTAAACTTTTCATTTGGACGTAAATCCACCTTTCCTTGGTGTCTGTTTGGTCTCCCCAGCTCTGATCCAAATCCCGGTCCGGATGTTGGAAACCCACCAGTCGTGATCAGAATGCCCATGGGCTCCGCGGAGTCTTGGAGAAATACGGGAAGGAAGGTCCCGTTTCTGCCCCAGGGCTAGGACTTGGCAAGCAAAAGGGAGGAGGAAAGGATTCTCCCCACCCGGTGAGGAGGAGGAGGAGGAGGAGGAGGGAGACAGAGGCTTGGGCCCAATCCCTGAGTGATTAGCCACCCACTTTAAAGGCAAAGAAGGGATTAAGGCCCGCGTCTATTGTTCCAGTTGTTCGGGCACGTGTGACCTCAGAGTCCCCAAACAAAACGTCTAGGGAAATCTTTCCTGCACCGTAATCAGATTGTCCAGAGATGTTGGGCCGGGCAGCTGGCAGCGAGGACAGAGTGCAGAGAGGACAAGGGAGGAAAGAGAGACACTGGGAGAGCCAGGGTGTGTGTGTGTGTGGTTGTGCGCGCGCGCACAACCACACACACACACACACACACACACAACCACTCACTCACTCACTCACTCACTCACTCCTGGACCCTGAGGCCCAGAGAGTAAGAATAGAAGCTCCCGGCACGGGCCGGCCGCGGAAAGCCGCCTTGGCAAAGGGGCAGCCGCGAGGTACCTGCGTCTGCGTGAGTCCCAAGGAGGCCGCGAGCTCCGCCCTCTCGGGCAGAGCTAGGTACTGAGTTTGCTGGAACCTCCGGTTCAAAGCCTGCAACTGCAAACTGGAATAAATCGTCCTGGGTTTGCGAATCTTTTTCCCCTTGCCATTGAAGCGCACTTCACCACCTTCCACCACAGTGCTCTTCTCGGAATCAGCCCCTGGAGGGACAGCAGAAGCGGGGACCGTGGTTAATACAAGGGACAGGCTTTAGTGCGGGGAGACGAGGGCGAGTGGCTACTGAAGGGTGGCGGAGGCCAGGCCAGGACTGCGACAACTCAAGAAACTCAAAAAGCCAGGAAAGGGTCCCGCAAAGTCCAAGGGCCGACCCGGGCGGATGCAGACAATTGGGGCACTTCCCAGGCGTGCAGTTCCTGCCTTTTCAGGCAAAGTTTGCTATTTTTGCAGGCGGTAGTTGAGGTTTAATTACCCTTAATTGCATACATTGTTTATAGCGCTACGCAATAAATAATTACCGAGACTAATACGTGCACATGTGGGTTTCTGTTTTCCAGCGGGCGCACGGAGCCGCCCAAAGGCCCCGCGAGTTCCAAGGGACGCTCTCGGATTTATCCTTTGCTGGATAGTTGCAAGTTGGGAGGATTTTTATTTTTAATTCATTTGCTCTGACAAGGAACCATAGATTGATACCCGAAACTTCCGCTGCTCCGGCGCCCTCCCCACCCCCACCCTATTACCTCTCTCCCCCCTCCCTCTTTCTGCCCTTCCTCTCCCTCTCCCTGGCAGGAGCACGTACCTGGGTCCTCCAGGCGGCTCTGGGCGAGGCTGGCGCTGCCGGGATAGGACTGCACCGAACTGATGTAGGGACTGGACGCGTGGCTGCTGACCGAGTTGACGTAGGGGTAGCCCAGAGGTCGAGAGAAAGACGAGGCCGAGCTGTAGGCGCCGTCTGGCTGCGAATGGCCCGCCGAGTGTAAACAGTGCATGGAGTAGTGCCCGTGGGACATGGGAGAAGGAGACATTTGCTGGTTGGGCGGCCCAAACTCCATAAACACCGCCTTGCCCGTCACAGGGCTGTTGAGACTTTCTGGCATGGTGGTCATGGTCATCTCTTCTCGCGGGGTCTGGGTGTGGGTCTCTCTCTCTCCTCTGCTTCTCTTTTGGGGGTCTCTCTGTTTCTCAGGACAGGAAGGAACCCAATTTAAGCGGAACAGGGGTTTTCACTTTCCATTCATAAGAAAATGGAGTTTGTCTCTTTGAAAAGTCTAAGCATGATGCTGCCGAGCTCCCCAAACTCGCTTCAAAGCTTTGACTCAGCCAAGGTCATAAATATTCATGAGCTGGCGGAGCTGATTGGTCCGCTGTCTTGCATAATCACCGGGGATTGGTCCGAGGCGCTTCGGCTCCGGTGGACTAGAGCGGGCAAGGCTGACCGGCCTCGGGAGAAACGCGTCCACTCTTCCCGGCCGGGGCTCTTCTGCAACAGAGCGTGCGGTGTGGAGTGCACAATGGGCTGTGGCGCCCGCGCCGGTACCTTCGCCGCCCGCGACTCTTCAGCCTCCCGCCTCCCCGTCGCGCCTTCCCAGAAACCAAACGGCGGCACGGGGCTGCCGCCCCCTCCCCTAATCTCCCCACCAACCGCCCCACCAGCACCGGGGAACCGGGCACGCTTCTCCTAGCCGTCGCCACCCGGTCCGAAGCTGAGCTAGAGCGGCTCCGGAGCCTGGCCGCGGCCTCCGGAGCGCGGAGTCGCGCACTGGGGGGCGCCCGAGGCAGCCAGTAGAGAGCAGTCCTCCCGAGCGTCTGGTGCCTAACGCAGCGCTCTCCTGGCTGCTTCTCCCGGCCTGGGTCCGCTTTGACACATCCCTAGGGTCTTTTGGGGCCCTCCGGACGAACTCACTCACTCGGCCGCCGCGCCGCCGCCGCCGCCGCTCCCTGGGGCCCGCTCGCATTGCTCCAGGCCCAGCTGGCCACTCCAGCTCGAGGCTGCACAGATCTGATTAAAGCAATGCGCGCGGAGAGTCAGGAACCCGCGCTTCTCCTCCCAGGAAAGGCAGCCGCACCGCCCCCTCCCCCCCAACACCCCCCCCTCTTTCCCTCCCAACCTTCCAACCCCTCCCATCTCCATTCCCTACCAGCCGAGCGCCCTGGGCTCACTCGCTCCAAGGGCGCAACGCAGAGCAAAGCCGAGGAGCCCCCCAACCCCAGGTGGTTATTTTCCGGCCTCCTGGGGTCTGGCGAGAGTATACCGGGCTTTAGGAGTCCCGGGGCAAACCGAAACCCGCGGCAAAACCAACCCCGCGGCCTGTGGTAGGTTTGTACGTACGTAGTAGACACGTCTCTCAATGTAGCCCAGGAACCTCTTCATCCCCAGTGGTCAGAGCGGGCGCCACTGGGCCTGGGGGCAGGGCTGGCAACGGCTGCCACGGCTCCTTCTGTCTCCTGGGACGCTAGGTACAGAGAAGTGCACAAAAGCCCCCCAGCCTCCACCACCACAGAGCCACCCCCGCGAGGCGTGGCGTTCACCACGCTGGCTGCAAGGGGCTGCTGGTGCCCCATTCCGCCAGCCCCATGGTGAATCCAATTACTTTGTTAGGTAATTAGAAAGTGTTGGTAATTATTTCTTTCATAATTTCGCGGTGTGACGGGAACGGGGAAATGATCTCGTGAAAGTTCACACGTGCAGATGTATTAGTTACTGATTCATTTGATTAAATGGTAGTCTCAAGTGCTCGGATCTGCAGCTGAAGGCGCTCCATTAGCATAACACTGATGTTTAATTTTCATACGCATAATTAGCCATATATTTAACACTAATAGCAACATGCAGCCTTTCAGCGTTAAACAGCCGGGGATTTGATCTGGCCCGAGCTGAACCTTCGTCGATGCACCTTCCCCTGTATGGAGTGCGCGATGATCACAGGATAAATCTCTGTAATCAAGCACATTTTGGCAAAGAGAACACCAATAAAAATGAACATTCAAAACAAATTACATTGGTGCTGTCGTTACAGAAATTAGTGGAAGGGGCTTCTCTCTTCTCTAACTTCTGTAGCAGCAGCTGCTGCCCGCAGAATTCCTCTCCTTTGGTCTAAGAGCACGTCGTTGGGGTAGAAATATTTCAGGCAGCGGGGTTGGAGCAAAAAGAAAAACAAATGCAAAAAAAAAAACCAACAACAACCAAAAAAACACACAAAACAAACACACCCAATCCTCCAAACCAATAACGTGTTTGCCAACGTTTAAAAGATTTTTTTCCCCTTAATCACCGAACCACACGGTGATGCTTTTGTAACAACAGCCAGCTAATGACTGTGCCACAGGAAGACTCCCGGAGCCTCTCCTCGCCACTTGGGTTCCGTGTCTCTCTTGCGGTTTGAATCGCTCCTTCCTAGCGCCCGTCTCCGGGTGCGGAGCGCGGCGCGGCGCCCTACACAGCCGCACGGACGCGGCTGCCCTGGCCTCCGCGGCGAGCCTCTCGGGCGCTGCCACGTAAGTGACACGCGGGGCCGGGACCAAGGGGAGCGGGTTTGATGGCCCCAGGTAAGGGGCAGAGCCTGAGGAGACCGGACAGCTGGAAGTTACTCACGAGAACTGCAGGGCGGGGGAGGAGAGGCAGCAGCAGGCCGCGACAGTCCCCAGGCTCTGTCAAGCATCTGGAGGGGCATTCGAGCCCTTCGCAGCGCGGGCACCGGGCTGGCTCCGGGGAACGGGGAACCCGCACGCGCCCCCTTGGGAAACGGGTTCAGAGCCTTACTTGTTTTAGAAGTGAATTTTATGTGGCGAGGCAGTGTCTACACTTCGGTATGATTCTCTCGTCCCCAGACAGGTCCTGGGAGGGGCGGCCGAGTCCCGGCCCTTGGGCGCCGAGACGCCGAGCCTTGACTAGCTGCCCAAAGTGAGATCTTATCTCTCCTCTACGAACCCAGACTGGATCCCCGCCGCCCCTCACCACTAAGCAAACACCTGTTCTGAAACATCGGTTTGCTTAGATCTTTGCCCGTCCCAACTCTGAGAGGAAGCAAAACTCTCTCGCCTTTACCCTGGGAGTCCTGGATTCCGGGCACAACCTGGTGGAGACACCGCAGGACTGGGCACCCGGTGGGTCAGCCGCGGCCACGCGCGGGCTGGAATTCCGGAGGCCCCTGGTGAGGCTTGGGGCCAGTTCAGCCGGCGGCGGTAGAAGGGGATGAGAGGAGGGGGAGGACGGACGCGGACCAAGTATTTCAAAAACTGCTTCCTCATTTAAACTTCAAAGCACGTTAAATGGAGTTCGTTCTAATTCAAGTTTGTTTCCGACAGAGCTGCTCAGTATTGGCTGGCACTGATACGTGTACATATACATGCATGTTTAATGTTTAAACTTTAGGTCTGTGGTCTTACTAAATGGGATTATAAACCTGTCCAATAAATACTTCCACTTCAGAATAATTGTTCTACAAGCAGTATGTTACCTCAGTGGTTGGTGAAATCCTGTGGTCCTACTAAAATTATGCTTGGGGAACCTCGGAGTAAACTGATCGGCAGATAAAATATGGGGCTAACCGTAGCAGTCCGATTGCTCTAGGAGAAGTAATTCCCTGGCAAACCTCTCCTGAGGCCATCTGAGCCTTCCTTTCTAGAAAACCGGATTGTTTGGGGCAGCAGCCTCAGTCTCCAGGCCTTTGCTTGGCTAAACTTTCCAGCACCCCCAGACGTCTTCCCATGAACTTCGTGAATCTTCAGCCCCTCGGTCATCGTTTCCAGCTCTCAGATCCACTAAAATGGAAATCATACCTGTCCAAATTCTACACCCCTGCACGCAGCGGAAAGGAGATAGTCTGGAGGACACGCAAAGATTCCCGAGTTCAGGGAAAAGTTTGAATTAGCTACTTTTTTCAAGCACGCTCACTGGCCTCAGTTTCCCCTTTTCCCACCACTCTGAGTGTCACAAAGACGAGCTGGCTCTCAGTCGCGATTACAGAGGCAACTACACAGGTGCCCACATTTGCTTGGCTTTCTCAAGTCCAAGCTATATGTAGTGGGTGGCAACCTCGCAAAATCCGCTTGCGTAGAAACAAGAGTCAGCACAATCACTGTACCCTGGACACCCTCACTGGCCTTTTTCCTAAAACCAACACCTGAGGGGGACTGCTTTCTACGAGGCTTGCTACAGGCCCAAACCCTTTGTACCACTGAGCCCAGGTGTGAACAGGTTATCGAGAGCACGTCCTGGGGAAGTAGGGGGGATACTCCGGGCGGAATGTGGGCCCTTGCATTTTCTGTTTCTGAAGTAGGTGGAACTGCGGACAGGTCGAACCAGAGTTAAACTCCAATCCTGGCTAACTAAGCCCCTACCCTCCAAGTTCCCTTATCTCCTCTTGCTGGGATCCTCTGGGTCTCCGGCGCCCTGAGTGCAGGTCCGAGGAGGTACAGTACTGGGAGAGGTCAGCTTCGGGGCTAGATGGGTGGGATGCTGTTCACATCTGGTCGCATGGAGCTGATGGTCCAGTTCCTAATGCAACAAACGGCCTAGCGTGTGTGAGCGCGTGTGTGGTCTTTCAAAAGTAACCTCTCGGACGGCCACGCTGGGCAGGATGAGAGCGGGGAGGAGGAGCCGCGGGGGACCGGGGAGGTCCTGTTTGGGAATTGATAGAGCCCTGCAGACGGGCGGGCCCAGGGTCCACGGGGTAGGAAATGTCTGAAACCAACCCCCGCATTCACGGGCTAATCTGTACATCGCAAAGCAGCCGTGAAGGGAAAGGAACCGAAGGGCTGTGGGGCCGCTGGCCTCTGGCGAGCGCCCTCGGACCAACCTATGTGGAACTCACAGGGAGTTTTTTTAAATTCCCAACTAACAGCTGGTTTCTTCTTACCGCTGGTGCGCATGTGAAAAGTTCAGGAACTCAAAGCTAACCACCTACCTGTCTCCCAGTAACTGCCAAGAGACGCAAGGAGCGCAGACATAATGGGTTTAGGAGGTGAAAGCTTTTTACTTGGGCAGTCAAGACATGGAAAGAGAAAACCATGCATCTCTGGGAACCCCTCGTCTTCCAAACGAGGACGTCCCCATTCCCCGCCAGAAGCGTTTTCCGCGCTGGGAAGCCGAACTGCGCGCCGGGATCCTCCCTCCCAAGTGGCACGGCAATTGCAGGACTTCAGACCGGAGTTCCCAACTGCCCCCAACCCCCACCGGGTCTTTCCAAGACGCTGCTAGGAGCCGGTTATGTTACTGAGCGACCTGCCGCTCGCCTGTTTCTTCCACAAGTTCTCCGGCGGGATTTCAGCAGTAAGATAAAAGGCGCCCGGCCTCTGCGACCTTCGGTCTTCTCCTCAGCCTTCGTGGGGCAGTTCGGTCAGGATCTGCGCGCCCCGCGACGTGATGAGAACAGTGTGCTCAAACTGTGCCGACCTGAAAAGCAGGGCAGCGGTCAGCACGCACGCCAGCGCCGGCGGGGCGGCGAACTCCAGCTCGCCAGCGCCGTCGGACGAAGCTGCCCTTTCCCCCAGTGATCTAAAAGCAACCGGGCAGAAAGCACACACCTTCGGTTGTCCAGGGAGACCACAGTCCATGCATCCTCCAGGACTTTAAAATCAGGGGACCCCTCGGTTATGATAGGCTCTGAAAGAGGTAAAATATTTACTGCGATGATCTAATCAAATTCTTGTCAAACACTGTTCCGGCTGATTATCAAAAAAAAAGTAAAAATTCTCCCCTCCCCCCGCACCCAAGTGTTTTCCCCATAGGTTCATGGTGTCATCTCGCAAGGGCTGGTAACTGATGTTGCTTACATGGTATACTGCAAACTAAACAGTAGGAAGAGGAAACGCTACGGCGTTCAAAAAATGCATGAAGTTGCTTAGTTCGTAATTTTTTAGAGAAAAAAGGGCATTTTAATCAAGACTTAATTAGGACCCTGTGGATAATAACCACCCAAACACCAGTCCCTCTTATAAATACCATTCAGTTTTTTTTAAATATTTGAATTTTTAAAACATACTCAAAATGTTCATTAATCAGCAAATAACAATTTTCTTATTTCACTCTAATTGCTTCTCCATTAAGTTCCACAGTCAGAAATATGATGCCTTTGGGGTCTTAGGTGATTGGAATTTGGTGGTGACACCAATCACATGATCAGTCAGGAATAAGCCACAAGAGAGTACCATGCTACTTGCTGACAGGGAGCAAGGGACATAATCGCCTTCAGTTACCGGGTGTTAATGGAAAAAACAAAACAAAACAAAAAACCAAACACCATATTATGCTGGTAACAGAATTAGTGGTTGGATGGCTGCCCTCTACTAAATGTGTCAGTAAGTATCTGATTTAGGAATATGGAGCTTGAGGTTATTATTTAATCAGATTTACTATGCATCTGAATTATTTCATTAAGCCGATTGGCTTTATTAGTCCTTCATGGGACTGCCTGGCCTAGGCCAGCGCTGCTCCAGCCCAGGGAGCCACCACCGTCTGGAGAGGAGCTTGGGCACTGACCTATGGTGAATGCCATTCCCTCCTCCATGAGTAGATTGCTGTCATTCGCTGCAAAACACAAAATATGGGGTAGGGGAGTGGGGATGGGAAATGGAAAGAAGGACAGAGAGAAACAGAATTAGAGGGGTTGGGTTGCTCAAAAAATGTGGTCATTTTTTTCTCATAGGGTAGAAAGATGGAGCTTTCTAGAATTCCCCTGAGAAAGGTACACCAAGGTCCAGCAGGGGCAGCCTGGGTGTTTTGGACACCTGTCCAACTCTCCCCCACCTCCCACTTGCTGCAAGGTTTCTGGCTTTCCTGGGTCTTAGGTCTTGCCCCCTCTCCAGGTCATCTTGGGGAACCGATGCCAAGAAAGGCATCTACCTAAGGTGAGGTGGAGTGGGAGGCAAGAACAGGGGGACTTCAAATAATGCCAAGTGTTGGTGCTGGGTGAGAGGCACACCTGAGAGGCCCTTCGGCAACCCAACCAGGACTTCTAAGCTGCCTCAGTGGGGTTCTTTGGCACAAAGGGTGTTCTGAGCTGCTGAATCTCTGGGGATTCTTCAGGGGATAGGTTTCTGGAAGTTCCTCCAGGGATTGCTCCCACCCCAATCACACAGGCAAAGGCCCCAGGACCAACTTTCCTTTGATCCCTGTCCAGATGTACACCTCCCCTGAGGCACTCTATAGTATTGTTTCCTACCCTAATCCAAATCCCTCCACCCGTTTGGCCCACCCTTGCCTTCTCACTGTAGGCTGCATACCCAGACAGTGAAAAACAGGAGATTCTGGGGAAGGAAACATAAGGTTGGGTATAATCTAGAAATCACTAAAGAGTACATGCTGCTAAATACATCAGCTGTCAGTGCTGTGTAGGATGTAATGAAGTTTAACCACAACAGTCAGTGGTTAGAGAAGGGGGTAGAAAAAGGAAAACTAAAAACAGTTATATGTGCATGCTGCTGGGACGTCTATTGGTAGCATTTTGTTTTCAGGAACTTTTGCTGGATAAATATTCCTTGTGCCTTCCAGCTATCACCTTTCTGGAGAAGAGGAAAAGCAAAAATAACATAAAATCTTATTTTGGTATTGAAACTGCTGGGTTCTGATCCAGTAACATAGTAATATTATGCTGGTTACAATTTAGTAACCACCTCCCCTCCCCTGTCCACCCCACCCCCAACACATACAAGAGGATGATAATATGGATTCTAAGTTAGAGGAGCTTCAGGAGCAATACAGCCTTACCCTGATTCCATTCAATAAAGAGCTCCCAAATTAACTCTCTTACCATGATGCCAAATTTCTGGATGTCCATGAAAGTAAGATCCTATCCCATGTCCCACAAAATGTGGACAGACTTGCAAACCATTCTGATGAGTTATGTGGCTTTAAAAGTGACCAAAACAAAATATTTAATAAATTAGGTAAGTTTTTAATGCATACTTAGATAAAACAAAATCACTTAAAAATATTCCCTGAAAAAGAGAAAATCAGTTATATATAGAGTCAGATAATAACATTAATATGTTTTCATTATTCTGGAATGATTTAAATTTTTGCCATTGCAGGTAACAACTCCTTTTAGATAAATGAAGAGAAAAGATACATACTTAGCACAGTAATTTGCTTCATCTACCTTAGTACAGCATTCAAACAAGGCTACTTTTAGGCAACAAATGAATATGCATGTACACGTATATAGATCAATATACATAACCAGGATACATGTGCATATAATGCAGGTTACAAAAAACTTGTTGTGTATGGAGTTTCACAAGAAGACTGTGCAAATTACAACTGATTTGGGAATCAAGCAGAAAAAAAATTACAATCTAGAAATATGACTTCCTACTTCTATAGTTCCCTTATTATGGTCTACTCTACTACACTGCACATTTAGACACAGATAACCTCACACAAAAGGTCAAATGTGCTTTTTCAATGTTCTTGAAACACTCCAAAACTTTGTGATCATTTGGGGTTTCCATTGAAGACTTATACCAACAACAAATTCATAAAGAATGTTTTTTTAATCACTGTGATGCTAAGAGAAGCTAATACTGTGATTCCCAATTTTTAATGCTTCATTAGTTCTTTCTATGTACACATGTTCTGGGTTCCATGTAGTTCATATAAATGAAATCTGGCATATAGAACCCAACCCTAAAATTTTCACCTACAAGATTAGGAAGTTGGTTTTGAAATCAGGTGAACATGTTTATTTCTGGGAGCACCATAAAGATAAGAACATATGTACCATTATCAATTTACATTTTCATGTGGATGAGAGGCACAGAACCTTTAACCCTAACCATAGCAATGGATTGAGACTTATTGGAGTACTATTCAAATTCTTAACAAAACCAAAGTTCTTAGATCCAAACTAGAGTTTCCAACACACCCTAGGTTTAACATGAACTCAGAGGTATTTACCCAGCATCTCTATGAGCATTTATGTCAATATACTTCTATCTAAACATTTTTATCCTTTATCTCCACACCAGGAAGATATCTTCACTTAGACCATTATGTTGCTATAAATAGCAGATGCGCAGCCTCTCATTCAGATTTAATTTCCAGGTAACTAATAGTGCAGAAATAGGTAAACTATGCATGTGTTGAGGACAGGAATGATAAGCCAACATTTTTATGTCTAAAATGGTACTTTCTTGTTATTTCTGCGTGTCTTTGCATTTGGGGAAGGAGGTAAACACTTCTCCTATTTGTATCACACAATATCTGAATAGAAACTGAGGGTGGAGAGTAGATAGATGGTGGAAGAGAGATTATTAAATAATAATGATGTAGATTTTTTTACATGAACAGGTTCTACCTAAACATGTAAATTATGTTACTTCAGTCCTTATAAGCCTTGATGATTCTAAAAGCACTCACTATAAAACATTCTAATTTCCTTTCTTTAAAAAAAAGAACTAGGTGTTTTTTGTTTTTTAAGCCTCTAACTGATTGGCAGGCATCACAGCTACATCTTAAATGTGCATTACAATGGCAATCTTCATTTTAATTTCTGATGAGAGGAGAGGAAGAAAGTCCACTCTGAAAAAACATTCTGGGTCTCTCCCCCACATCATACCTCCCATTCCTCTTCATAAAAGAAACTGTGCAATTACAAGGTGGTTAAAGGTACAGTGCATTTTCCTACAATTTACTGTCTAGATCCTGCTGAAACTTATGGTTACAGGGGTATCATTGAATGCATGTGTCATGGATGCAAGGTCAGAGGATTTCACAGCCAGGTACAAACAGGAAAAGAACAGGACAAATTTCCCTCAGTTACTTGGTTGAATACCTAGATCAATGACTGATTCCCAGGAATGTATACCCTTCTGTCTGCTTCTCAGGATATTTTCCTTTTGAATTGACAGTTAGCTTTTTAACACACACTAGCTGAGACCAGATGGGATAACATCTCATTAATATTCCTAGTTATACCCCTTTTACTATTTTGGAATATACAGGAAGCACAAGGTTATTTACCTCATCCTAGGGTTTGAATCTAACTTCATAGAGACAATGTAACTGACTTGTAGTAGCAAATTCCACTCTAACATAAAAGCAAGTACTGATAATCCTAATTGTGGTACAGGAAGATGGAGCATTCTTACTTCTTTTGACTGGCATGCTGGGGGAAGATGGAAATAGCTGGGCAGACAGGGGAACCCAAGAAATGCTATAGTTGCTCCCCAATCCCAGCCATCACAGGACCATGACCTGTTTGTGAACACAGGGTCTTCTTGCCCTGGACATTTCACCAATAAAATCTGCCTTCTCTTTGCTGAAATCTATTGAAAAGAACTGTCTTGGTTGGTAGTAGCTCTTTTCTGATTTTCTTCTATTAAAAATCCTCTAAAACTTTAGGACACTTACCCATAGGCCTGAGCTCATTTATGATTGGAAGTCCTTGACATGGACTATTTGGGGAGGGTAAGAGGGGAGAGGAAGAAACAGTTGTGTCAAAGTAGTTTATGAACTTACTTTTAAATTACACTACTGCATTATTACAATTCATGTTCCAGTTATATAGTTGAAAGAGAAATCTGTCTTAAGGAATTTCATCTTGTGACCATTTTCTTCAGTTTAATTCTCTTTGTTGAGACAGCTTTCATTAATTGAAGTATTGATAAATTAAAATTCTTAATACATTTCAACTACATTTTATGACTAAGTATACATTCCCCAAGAGGGCAGAGGAGTACTATATTTAAGGACCTACTCTTCTAAAGGAATAAAATGCACATGGAAATAATTTTTTTATTGACTATATTCCTCATGCTGTACTTTTCATTCCTATGGCTTATTTATTTTATAACTGGAGGTTTGTACCTCTTAATCTCCTTCACCTATTTTACCCATCCTCCCATTTTATATGACTCCTATAAACAGCACTAATCTCCAAATGGTAACATCTCTAATTAAAGGACCTCAAGTAGCACCTGATTTTTCTCAGTTATGGAATTTTACTTTAATCTTTCCAGATTTTTATTTTGAGCAGTAGTCTTTGAATAAAGGAATGCATAATTACAAGAATTTCCTCTAATGATAAGGAATATTTAAGGATAATTAGTAATATTTTTGAAAGCCAACAACTGTTTTCCAAAAGAGTGGTATATTTTTGGTTTCATATTGGATCACAAAATTACTGTATTTTTCTTACAATCATGCTGAAGTTTTGAGGTTTTCTGTTTCCAAAAAGCAGACATTATGGATTGAAATAAAAGATAATTTATTGCAGTGCTTACTTTCATGTGCAGAGAGAAGCAGTGTAATTGTAATTTACAGTAGCTGTCAAGAAAAATCCATCACAGATGACATTAAAATGACTTATTTTGCCTGAACCACTTATTGTTTAAATGTGCATAATCTAATAGAAAGAGATTATTTTTTAAAATCTGCTTTATAGTCTTCTAAATTAATATCAAAACATATACTTATGAATTAAACATTAAAAACCATTTATTGATACTTTCATCATGACATTTACAACTATGAGTTTAAATTATTTTTGACTGAACTGTCACATATTTGTGATCCATGCATCTCAACATTCACAATATTCTCATATGTACAGATCATATCATCTGGAGATAATTACAAAAATACAGATTTAGAAATATTTTAAAGCAAATGGAGGTACAGTGAGTATAACAACATTGTAATCTAAATATCACTACCTATCTCTCATGAAGCAAAAGGGTGCATAGAGGACCCTTTTTGTAAACTATTTTAGTCAATATTCTCCAGAGATATCATCCTATCCTTTAGGTTTAGAGAATTTCAAAATTTCCTGTAAAGATCGCTAAGTTTTTGGTAATAAAATACTAGTAAGATGCTTGAATGTTCTTTTCATTCAAGTGTGTATCAGTAGAGGGAGTATCAGTAGAGGGTGTATCAGTAGAGGGAGGCTATGCAAAAGATGGTGACTATCTTAAAATAAAAGAGACTGAACTGAAAGATGTTTGTAAACCTTTGGTCTGTAATGATTCCAAGTACTTTTGGCTTACAGGTGGAGACTGCTTGTTTATTTACTCCCTTGAGATTTTGTCTGAATAAGAAAAGGCAAAATAATAGATGTCCAGAAACACTGCCTTAACAAAGTGGAACAAATATTTGTTAGAACCAGGGCCAATTTCCTTGCCCATGGCAAACATAAATGATCTAAATAATGAATTGCATTAGGTTAAAAGTAAAAAGTTCATTCATTGCCTATTATTTTTCACATAGTTTTGTAAGCGCAGTTGTTGGGACCAATCTGGGTTTCAAAGGAGCTTGTACATTCAAATTCATACTCTTCGAAAACTGACCTTTGCATCCAGATAGCTAAAATCCAATGTCACTTTCAATTCTACTCTTCTTTTTTATGTAGCTGGAATTAATGTAGTGAATATGTAATGAGATGCATTATCCTGCATGGAGATTTATCAGATTTTCCAACTGGATGCTGTGCTTTGCTAGGACTAGCCGCAGTTCACCTGCATGTTGGTGTGGCGTGTGGCTCTTTTTTGTAAAGAGTTAAGTCGTACACAAAAAAAGGGAACAAAGGTCAGCACCCAGCCGCCACTTGAATGTGAGATTTTTCTTTTTATTCCCCTTGATGTATACTAGGCTCTGTGTTATTAGTCTTAATGATGGAAAATTGTAGTGTTGATACAAATCTTTTTTTCAAAGTAGTAGGCGGGAGCTCCATTTGTTAGTAAGTTTTTTTGTGACTAAAAGCCATGGACAGTACATTTATGTAGCAGTAAAAGGCCTAGATGCTCTTTCCATAGCAGAGCTAATTATTCCTACTGTGACCTTACTGATCTAGCCTGTTCCTAGTACATCTCATCTGCACGCCTGTTCCTCTGTGTAGATGGTGTCAGAGAATATGAAAAACCCTATAATGAAACCATTTTCATGATGGAGAAAGGCTACTGGAGTTGCACTTGCTACAAAGAGGCTCAATTATATGAGTAATTGTGATAATTTTCTACATTCATAGCCTTCAATGGGGAAAAAAGAATGAGAGCCACAAAGGAAAATTACTTTAACAAGAAAGTACAGAGAGTAAAAATGGAAGAAGAGACAAAAAGGGGAAAAAATAACCAGAAAAAAAGTTTAAAAAATAGATCTGGAGGGAGGAATAGCGAGACAGGGAGAACAACAGAAATGCTCAAAAGCCCATGTGCAGCTGTGTTGCACAATTAAATTGAATTTTTTTTCCTGCAGTTGATGAATGTGACTACTGCAAATGTGCCTCTGTAGTTAGCTATCATTTGTTGTTCCGTGACAGGAAAAGGATAATTACCTCTCAGAGAGAATCAAAGGCTGACATGCCCTTTAGACACAGCCATGAATGCAGAGCTCGAGAGAATGCTTGAATAAGAATCTAGTGTTCTCTGCCCCCTTCTACTGAAGAATAAATTTTGTTAAAATGCAAGAGCACCACCAGTAAATTTGTTGAACCCTAGGTGTTCAAAAATATGAGATACATCTATCGACTCATCCCATTTGCAAAAATAAAACTGCATTTTGAATTCATTTCTATTATATTCATGGACAGTAAGATAGTGAGATATGCATTAAATTTCTTTTCCCAGTAGGGGTCTGATTCAACATTTCCTATGAAAGAACAGAGAGACACTATCCTTTTTTCCCAGGCTAGTTAGCCTATAATTTAAAACTGTCAAAAACACAATTTTGTTCAAAGTCTTCAATAAAAGCTCCTTACATATAACCCAAAGAGATTTTACTAAAGTTTGATTCAGACACTGTTACAATATTTTTAAAGCCATAAATACATTTAACTGATATTTTACTGCCTTTTTTCTTAAAGTATTTGAAGGCTTACGAAGAAAAAAGGCAGCATCTTTTCAAGGTGACTAAGCCTTCCATCCTTTAGACAAACTGGGAAGTATTCAGTGGTTCACATTAATGAGAACACTACTTTAAAAGGTACTGATGTGATCATCTTTAACAAAATGCATTACTTTTAAATGAAAATATATTCTGCATGTCCACTTCAAAACATGGGGAAAAAATATCTAAAAGTAGGTAACAGATTACAAAGAAAAGTCTTGAATTCAGAAACTACATGTACACTCAAAAAGCAAGCAGAGAATGTGTATGGAAAATAAACAATGGTTTTCAGGAAAAATGAACCAGACCAAAAAAAAAAAAAAGACAAATGGCCCCCCTTTCAGACTGTTTGCTAAGACACTGATTGGAGAGGTAAGGATGGCTTGAGCTAATGCTTTTATCTTTGTTTCATAAGAATATGTTTCACTTCATTCCTTTATAAAATGTAGCTTTTCTCCTGTCTCATTACTGAAGAATGGGGATTTTTTTTCCCCTTCTTAGGTACCTTCTCCCATGTTTGGTATGATTCTGAGTAAAGGAATACTATGGACGAACAAGTAGAGCTAAAACTAAAGCAGTTATATAAATGCTGCTAGGGGTTTTTATAAGCTTCTTTGGGAACCCTGGTATAATTCACTTTCTTAAGATCTTTTTTTCTTAAAACCTAAACAACATTTCAGCTTGGCAGTTCACATACTGATATCTGACTGAAGTGATGGTTCTGAATCATAAAACATGTCATCAACTTTATACCAAGCCACCAATAACCTTTGTACCATTTGCCAACCCTCCCTTTACTTGTCAGTATAAGGCTTACCTGATTGTGTTTCCAATTACAGAGAAGGGAGCCCCTGCTCTGCAAGCTGCAATTGCTTCATCTCTACACCTCCTGGCAACCTCCACTAACTTTTTACCACATTCATCCACATTGCCCACCAAAAATGTTTCAGAGGTGTCTCCATGGTAGCCATTGTAATAGACCTAAACACAGGCAGAAAATTTAAAATATGTCCTGGTTTAGAAATTGACTCTCCTAAAGTATACATTACATTCATTTATGTATTTAGTAGATTCATATGTTTCACCCTTCCATAATTACTCTTAAGTTTACTTACAAAAAAAAGAAATAGATATACTGAAACCTTATAGTAATTAAAAAGATGAAGCCATGCAATCATTTTGCAAAATTTAAAAGTAAGTGACTAGTACAGCTATTTCAGCATTAGGACTGGCAATTTTATTATAACATTTTGATTCCTCATTTTTTTTTAAGAAGATAAAACTATGTATGCAAAAATTAGTGACCAAAGAAACTGACCCACAATTACCACAATAAGGCTTAGAGGACCCAGAAGTATCTAACATAGGGAAGTTTCTTCAGTGTTATGAAGATACTTGATCTTTTGTTTATCAGTCCCACATTCAGAAGTGATACATAATGACAAGAAGAAATAAAATAGACATGTCAGTATTATAACAGACAGTAGGAGTCTTTAGTTCCAAGAATTGATGTGGTTCAATATAGGAATGAAATATGTTATAGAAAAATCCTGTCTGGAAATAAAATCTTAATCAAATGTTCCAGATAAACAGCATGTTAACAGAAAACACATACATGGATTTTTAAAGAATTAGAATGTAACAAAGCAGGCTTAAAAATAAAATTAAAGGAAATATAATTTTATCAGTCTTCAATGATTCAGAAGGCCCTGTAGGGTCTTGAAAGATACCAGATTCATTATAAAAAGCAATAATTACTAAACACTACAATAAATACAGAAGGCAGAGGAGACTGGTTGAATGTTGATCCTGAGATATAGCATGGAATTTTCTATTTTGCATAAATTTGTCCTATGTAATTATTTCTCTTTCTCATGAAGTAGAAAGCAGAAAGTATTATAAAAAAGATATTCATTTGAGCTTTCTGTTTTAATACTGATTTAATGTCTTAAATCCATATACTATTCTGCATTTAAAAAATACTCTCTTACGTTCTGTATGAGAAGCAGTCTTTAGATCTTCAGGAAATTGAAGCACGGACAAGTAACTGTCTAAAGTTAGTGGCAGAACTTTAGAGGCTGATCCAGTTTAATATGATGGATTACTGGCTTCTAATCAAGTGTTTTTCTCTACTACATCAAATAATCTTAGTTACCATGAGGTAGAGCTGTGTTTTATACATTTATTCTCATAAATATACCAATAAAGTACGTTTTGACATTATACACAAATATTATCATTTATTAACATGAGTAATTAGTTAAAAAATTTGTAACTGAATATTTATTAACTACTATTTAAGTAAAAATGTACTTTTAAAAATATTTATTTGCCTTTTCACATTACGTTTTTGCTAGCTTTCAATATGACTTCTTCAAAGATTCAACATACATAGAAATAACACTACTTTTGAAAGCCTGTGGCAGTTGTCTATAATTACTATTTGTAACCACAAACTATTCTTGTCTTGTACTTCATTTATTTAACAAATATTTATTTACTGAGCAACTACTATCGGCATTGCATTATCTGTTTTTTAACGTTCAACTTTCAAGGGGGAAAGAAGTCTAATTTCATGTGATATATGTTGTTCCCTGGGTTTAACATCTAGATATAAACAATTACAAAATACAATGAATATTTTCTGATGTAAGTATAAAATCTGATAATGGAGCCTTCCACTTGATAAAATATTTCATATATAGAATTTGTTAAGATACTGACCAACATGTTTCCTTGACTCCTTCACATTTCTAGACCCCTGGAAAATATTTCACTTTGCTTTATGAGTTTTACCATTGTGAAATCATTTGAATGTTAAAAATAGAATTGTTTGTTCAAAGTCTTCAAGCAACTTAGAAAAGACATGGAATATTTTCTTTGGACACATTGGAAGCAGTATGGAAGAGCATGTGTATTTCATTCAAAGCAGCAGTATTTTATAAGGGGGTGATTAGGTGAGATAATACAGTGTAAAACCCTTAAATCAGGTACAATCCAAAAGATAAAGTGTATCTTTATTTCAGGTACACTTCATAAAATACCTCCTTCTACATGATTCTGAGTTAGATATCAGCAGAATATATGTGGAGCAATGTTCAAGTATTCTAAATAGGATAAAATGACAGGATAGAGTATAAGCAAAAAAAGAGTCTTTGGCTACCACCTCACACAAACTGATATGATGGAAAAAGATTAAATTAATTTAAACAACTAAAAATCTGACTGAACTCAAGTATTGGATGCCGATTTCCCCCTCATTTCCACTCCTACCTAAGTTTCAAGTTTTGGATATAAAATAACTATTATTAAAAAGATTTCCTCATTAATAGACACTGACCTTCTTGAATGCTACCTCAACTAGTTCTCATCAGATGTTTATATTATATTTATTTATTTAACACTTATTTAGTAATCATTGGATGTAAATAATTTATTTACAATCAACATGACCCAAATTTCTAAAATTACAAAATTTTTTAGTAAAATAAACTGCCAAAGCACAAGTAATACAAGACTGAAAATAGTGAAAGGCTAAGAAAATTAGAAACAGTGAGAACTTGTACAATTTGAAGTTCCTATGCTAAATAAATTTGGGTTGCTTTTAAAAGAAAGGCTATTAACCATTTGGTGAAAACTTGAGTTCAGAGAAAAAACCACTCTGCATGCATGCTTCAAGTTCAGGGCTCTCTATTCCACAGATGGAACACTATGTTACCTTGAAGGATTTTAATAAATCTAAGGAACACTGCTAGCAAAAGAGTTGCTGTCCAAATAGACTGACATACACAGGCCAATGTAGCCCCTAATGACAGAGTAAGATAATGACAGGCCCCACTCAAAATCAGCAGGAAGAAGAAGATCAATCTTGGCAGAGTGAAGGAAAAATGCTGGCTTTCTTCGTGTTAGCTCATCTCATATATATCTAGCTTCAGCAGCTGCCCAGAGCTGTGGTGCTCTGCATTAACTGCACAGTGGATCAATAACAATTATACCTTCTCAAAAACATGACACATAGCAGGATTGGGTTGACATTTCACTTAGGCCAACATTGATCTCAGTGCATCTGATTCCAGCCCTAAATTCAAGGCAGGCCTGGTGTACTTGGAATAAACACAGAGTTAAAGACAAAAAAGGAAACCAGCTGCTTGCGTCTGGGTCTAGAAGTAAACAGCACTTCCATCCGTGCAGTTCACATTTTCAATCCACAATTCTTCCCGTTGCTACCAGCAATTCTGAAGTTGATCAAAGACTATTTTTTATATTACTTACTCACCGTGACATCAATGTTGATAATATCTCCATCCTGAAGAGGTCGACTGAAACATAAATAGAAAAAAAAAATGGTGAATGGCAGATCTCAATAAAAGGAGTATAAAAATGAAGAGCTAATTACAACTATCACACACCCAGTATTGCAATGACAACATGGAATAAAAAAGGAATAAGTGGAATAAATATATATAATCTCTGACTTATATTAGTCACATGAAATTTTACAAAAAATACATAATGTGAACATATTCCTATTGTTTAAAAATCCACCATTCTTAGAAAAAGTACTTATTAGTTACCATGACTTTGCAAAGAGCCAAAATAGAAGATGATAACCAATATTTGGCTACATTTGGATTTTTACCATTTATATGGCTAAAATCTCAGAAAGTAAAATAAATAGTTAATGCACATTTACTTTTTTGGATTACATACTGCTTTAACAAACACTAAGTGGTGGTATTCTGTCCATTTAGAAGCAAAATACTTGAAAATCTTTGCTTTACCATTATCAGCTTCAAAAGTTTGCAGATGAGTTTCAATTAAACCACAAAGTCTTTCAACATATGTGAGAGACCTTAGTTTCATGTTTTAGTTTCCAAAGGAACAATATGTTATCAAGCAATGAATACCTGTCAGGAATACCATGACAAAGCACATTGTTTACAGAGGTACAAACAGATTTTGGAAAACCTCCATAGCCTAGAGGTGAGGGATAGGCATCATGACTGATGATTTCCTGATGAACAAGAGCATCTATCTCTTCAGTTGTCATGTCAACCTAAAATATTAAATAAGGAAATTATGTAGCAACAGTTGAAGACATTTTCTGTATTTACTGACTATGCCTATAGCTACAGCACTTTGAGGTGAGATTGTATAAATTTACTGTAATAAACTTGTGGTATAACATTTGAATTAATTATGATTAACATTAAAATCCTAAATTGTGTCTTTTGGGACAATTATTTGGGTACATGATGGTGGTATGGACTATTATGAAATGGAAAATATAAACTCTAAGACCCTTTAAATCACTTGTGAGTCATTAAATGACATGACTCTGTTTTAGTCTGAAGACTTTAAAAATATGTTCTTAGACAATTTCTTCTTCCTCAGTAGTTAGTGCTCTGAGCTAACTGAAGCACATAAGTTAATTTTCAAAAGGATCTTCAGTTTAGATGATAAAGCTTGAAAAGTAGGTCAACTCATACCTTTTAACCTCAGCAAAACATTACCTGGGTTTTGTAGCATGGCATGAAGATTAAAGATCATAATTTTAAAAACTCAGTGTAATACATTTTTCAGAGATGTGGTTTTCACTGATCTTGATTTCTTGTATCTCAATAAATCAATGTGTTTTTGAAAAGTATTTTTCCCTTACCAGAAGGTATCCAATTGCTCCCAAAGTAAAAGAAAACTAATATTGAATTTATGAGCACAAGAAAACTATCTTCATAAACTCATAAATCATAAATAAAATTCTAAAACAAAATACTTTGTTAAAAAGATTTCCCTTTGTTAAAAAGTATTTCTTCAATTATTTTCTTTGTGTTACTTTTTATTCATATTATGCTTAGTTATGTTGCTATAACAAGTTTATTACACAGATGATACTCTTAAGAAGTGATTTCATCATTGAGTCTCACTTCCCAAATTCTTTATACTTTTTGGAAATGACAGACCCATATTTTTTTTAATGATTCTTATGTAGCAGGGTGTTTCAGATTATTCTGAAAGAACTAAATCCTGTAGTAACAAAGTTGTAAATAGTTACATTGCTAGAGCACCTATAGCTTTGTGTATCTGGTCTAATTTTTCTTTGCAGAGCAAATGAAAGAAAATAGGCGACTAAGGCAGAGCAGAGAAAATCTTCATGCACGCAGAAATAATGTGGGGAATACAAGCAGAAACTACAGGCAGGAGTAAGGGGGCAAAATTCAAAGCTGTTTGCCAATGATCAACAGGGATAGGCTGACTGAGCCCAAAGTATCTCCAAAATTCTGCTACTTACAACTGAATTTGGATTTTAAGTTACCTGTAGAATAAACACATGAAATAATAAAATCTCTTTCCCCCATCCCAAGGCTTTGCTTTTTAAGAAATTAGATGTGTACAAAAGAAAAGTTAAAGGGACACAGGGTAAAGAGGAGGGCTTGTCACCCCTTATATAAGTCCTGAGGCTTGGTGAGGCGCCACCTTTAAACTCTTCCCAGCAAGAAGGAGGACATGACGGGCCAGCTGACAAGCTTGATGAAGCCCTTGAATCTGATCTTCATTTTTAACTTCTATGCTGTCTCCCCACTCGGGTACAATGCCTGTCGTCACATAGTCTGGCTTCTTTATGCGCTTGAGGGAAAAGGATTGAAAAACGAAGATCAGAACCCAGCGCACGACAATGAGATCATTTTTCAGCCACAGCCTACTGCTTCATGGAGCTCTGCCCTTCCTGCCGGAGCACCGACCTCCCAAGCCAGCACAGCAGACCCTCCAGGCTGCCCCCAGTTCCTTCCCCTGCCCTTTTGAACTTAACATTGCCTGCTAATGCTGTCTCTGGATAGCATGTTAGCCTTACTGTGCTTTGAGTCAAACTGGACTGAAGTAGACTTCTGGTCAAAACAAACACTGATTTTCTTTTCTTTGTCCTCCCAACCCTGTTAGAAGCATATTGCCGTGGATGAAAAGTAGTGCCAAGCTTCCAAAGTGCCAAATGGCTATTAAGAGCACTTTCACCTTCTTAACTTTACAAAGATAAAATTTATGCAAAAGATAGCTCAACAACACCCTCTCCAAATGAGTATGTGTAAAAGGCAGACTGTCAAGCCCAAGGAAGCCTATTACATATAGACTTTTCTTACACTTTGCAACTGTACGCAAAGTAAGAAGGGGCAGGAGAACAAAACAAAACAGCTTTCTTTTTTAAAAGTATATAAAAATGCCTAGAACATATCCATTGTTTGTCAAAAAACAAAAACAAATCCCCACCAAACTCAAAACATTCAACTCTGACCATATCTGTAGAAAGTTCTCCACCACTTACTTAATTTAAATCCATGGGAAGTATTCAGAAAATAAATACTATCTGACACACAGAGCTTCTTTCAGTCCCAAGGTTTTACACAGCTCTTTACAAACTATTTATGAGAGATGCTACATAAGCATTGTTGAACAGTACTAAGTAAGGCTACACAGCAGTTGGGGACAGGAAGCTGAGGGAGATAATACTATTCAATTGACATCACAGCAACTCTGGAAGGGCTGAGGTTAGAGCTCTGCTCTTTGTGAAGTGCATCACGCAGAAGTAGATTTAAAGGCCTCCACTTATTCTTGTGTTCAAATAGGCCCTTCTGATATAGGTAACACCACTGCTTGGCTTGCTGCAACTGAGCTCCGGATGAGTATCTTCTGTCCTATAGCTTCACCACCAGTGCCCACAAAAGCTCACCCTATCTCCCCCAGAGATTCTGTGCTCTTGTCTCCACTCATTTTTGTGATCTGTCCAGGTAACAACTACAGGCAGAAGTGCTGTTGGGCTGCCACTAAAATTCTAAAACAATACATTCACTTCTCCAGATATTTTTTTTTCTTTTCTACAAAATACCAAGAACATATTCTGGGCTCTGGGGCCTATCTTGTCATCACTTGCCACAAAAATGGGCCCTTACTTTCATGGAATATAACATACTTAATGTGGGTTCACTGTAAAAAATATATGCATAAAAGGGGGAAAGCAGGTGACTTTTGTGAGAAATCTATATTTCTTTCAGCTATTCTTGGTCTTCCTAAGTGATTCATATACCTCCTTTATATTGCATTTTGAAAAATTAATTGTCTTTCTAGAGAATTTTAAATCTCTGAAAAAAATCAAGAATGTTCCGAGATAGGACATCTTATTTAATTTATTCCAACAGAGGCCTTAAAGACAGCAGCATTAACAACATGGAAATTATAAAAGCAGGTTTCAGAAAAAAATATCTAGTATATTAATTTTAAGAAATCTTTCTTGAATGATCCCAATTTTATAGCCAATTCTTTTCCCCTAGAAAAAGTTAGGAAACTAATATACACAGTTTTATTTTCATGTTAGAAATTTAATATAGACAATTTAATGTCAGAAACTTGAATTCTAAATAAGCTAAGCAACTGTAAGCTCAGAAGCTTTATTTAAAAAAACTAAAATTATAGAAGTTAAAACTTCTCAAGTCACAATTCTAAACCACAAACCAAGTTTAAAAACTATGATTCAAATGGCTCAGAAATCAAAGATACAAAAATATCTTTGATTATTTCTGCAGTTAACCTTTATCTTGGCTAGAAAAAGCAGCAGATAATAGGCAATACAGTACCTTAGGGACTGGATGAGCTGAAGAAACTGCCGCCGGTGAAACTATACTGTGTGAAATATCTCTTTGTCTCCGGAAAAAGAAATTTCTTCTTTGTTGACTGCTTGACTGCTTGTGTAAGTAGATATGATTGAGTGGTGAAGAGAACATTCTATGACAACCTATGAGCAGAAATAGACATATTTTAAATAAAAGAAAATATCCTAATACAGCACTACATTTTAAGATGTTACATGTCATCTATTAAATCTTTATTCTAATCCTTTATTGGCTCAAAAAAGAAAAGCCCCAAATAGAAAGGAAAGCAATAGTATTCTGAGTTCTAGTACAATAACAGAACAGCATATTTATTAGCTAATACTATGTTTACATAAATGTTTGACAATGGAAAACTCTAACAGGAAACAAACATCTGCTGAGCATCATGTTGGCAGAAAGAACAATTGTTGCTGTGGTACCTGACTCAGCCATGTCCAGGATGACCCTAAATTCAGGGCAAGGGCACTGTGTGGGTGATTTTACATTCTTTAAAGCTGTTTTCCTTTCAAGAATCATGCACAAATTGCAGTGCACTTTTTGCCCTCGACAGGATTACTACTCTGTGTTAAGTTCACATGCCGTGAAGCACTGAAATTCATTGTGATGAATGCCCAAGTCAGATAAAGATTAAATAGCAAAAATGTAGGCTGTAACCCTGAAAGAAAATGAATAGAGGGTCCTAAAGTATCCACAACAGGAATTTAGAAATATGTATCAAAGTTTAAATGAACATATCCTCTGACTCTGCAATTCATCTCCTAGGAACTTACCTTGTAGATATTATGCAATGGTGGATGTATGACAATATACCCTCATGGCAGCATTGTTTGTGGGAGAAAAATATGACAACCCAAATGCTCATCAGGAAGAGACTAGTTAAATATATGATGGTGTATCTACAGAACAAATGACTATGAAGCTATTGGAGAACAAGATAAATCATTTCTATGTATTGATATGTAAAGAGGTCACAGTATACTGTTAGGAAAAAAGCAAATGCTGAACAATAGGTATAAAAAGTCCATTAATGTAAAAAGGGTTTTACATTTATATAAGCTTGTGGTATGCCTTTCTGAAAATTGATATTCATCAATAGTGGTAATTTCTGGGGCATGTGACTGGGACTGGGAGAGGGGAAAAAGACTTCCTGATTTGTTTTATTTTCTTCTATACCATCAGATATTTTAAACCATTCACTTACATTACTTTTATAATTAAAACAATAATTAAAAAATTCCCCATGTCATAATTGCACATCAGGTGTCAGCAAACTGTAGCTCAAAGGCCATCCTAGGTCATTGCCTATTTTTATACAGCCCACAGCCTAAAAAATTAGTTTTACACTTATAAATGGTTGAAAAGAGTCATAAGAAAATATTTTTTAACATGTGAAATTATATGAAATTCAAATTTCAATGCTCACAAAGAAAGGTTTACTGGAACATAGCTATCTATACTCATTCTCTTACAATTATCGATGGCTGCTTTCCAGCTACAGCGGCAGCTGATAGTTGAGACAGGGATATATGCCTCACAAAGCCTAAAATATTTACTATCTGGCCCTTAACGAAAACAGTTTGCCTACTCCTGGTCTAGAGCACTGGTTCCCAAGTGTGGTACCCAGACCAGCATATCAGCAGCATGCAGCCCTCCAGGCAATGGGAACAGTATTTAGTCCTTGGTGCTGCAGAAGGCACTGAGGCACTGACGTCCCCAGGGACATGGAGTAAATGCTAAAGCTGAAGAAAAGCAGACCGAGTTGCCATCACAAAGTATATTACTTCTCTCACACACACGAGAAAAAATGAGCTGATACACATGCACATGACACACCCAGAATTTAAAAGGCATCACAAAACTATTGAAAGTTACTACTATTATTAAGTTATTTTTCCACAAGTGTGATAGGCTGACCTAATGCACCCACCCTCTCAAGCCAAGCTCCTCTGGCTGACCAGACACACACTTTAGCGGAGTGGCCACCAGAAGGTGGCTGGGCAGTCTGTGGGAATGGGATGGAAAACCCGGGTCCCAGCTGACACCAGGGAAAGACGCAAGCAGAATCAATCTGTGACTCCAGGCCCCCTAACTGCATCCCTAAGTAGGACCACAGACACAAGCTCAGAAGTGTGTCCCTTCTGGCAAAAGTATGCATTATGATTATTATTAATAAAGTAACACTAATAGAAATAGTAACAGTAACAGTGGTTAACATCTAATGGCCACTTTCTTAAGCACAGTTCTAGGTGCTCTATATACAGTATCTCCTACCAATTCTTGTCAGTAGGCAGGCAGCTCTTGACATCACTGTTTTACAGATAAGGCTCCCACCTCTGGTGGTCAATGGTTGGCCCAGGCTTGCCTCCTCCAAATCCAGGGCTGCATCTGCCAGTCCAAGCCGCCTTTCAACAGTGTGCAAGGACTCTAGTAGCTAGCATGCTTTGTTATAGAATATGCTTTTCCAGGGATTGGATTTTAAGGAAAGCTTTTTTTTTCTAATCATGAAAAAATATCGTGAGGCCAGCCAACATTTAGAGTGAAAGTATTTTTCATAAAAACTCTTAGAATCTGATTTAGTTGGGAGGCATTATGGCAGTGAAAATAGCATGAGCTTTGAAGTCAGACAGATCTGAGTTACCAAAACTACTGAGTCCACATTCTTCACCACTACATGGGAAGAGTAGTACTTTTCTCACCACTAACCTGTTATGAACATTAGCTGAGGTAACATAAACATGTAAACCATCCTTAAAAAGTACATAAAATGTGAATTTCTTTTCCTTCCCTGTGTCAACTCTTTGACATGTTTACCTGTGGACCTCTAAATTTATTTATGCTTTTATTTGACAACTACTGACTGAGCTCTCCTCTATGCCATGCTCTGGACACAGGATGAGCCAGGGACAAAGCCATTGCTCTCACGGACCTCACAGTCTGTGGTGGGGCACAGACAAAAGCAAACCAATAAATACATGAGAATGTATCAGATGGCTATGCGTGTGACAGAAAGTGGGCCAGGGTGACACAGCACTGGATGGCACGTTGGAGCTAAGAGTCTGCTCTTGGTCCTGCCAAGAGCTAACAGTGGGGCCTGGAGCAGGAACAATAACAGTGAACATTGGCTGAGAGCTTACTGGTGCCAAGCTCTATACTGTGCACTTTGCAGATACTACCCACTGATACAGAAGACTTAGTAAAATGAGGGAGTTGGACTTCATAATCTTTGAGGTCTCTTTCAGCTCTGACATTTGTGCCTTCATTCAGCAGCATCTGATTGTCATGCTGCATTTCAGGTAATGGGATGAGGTAGACTCTGATCAATTTTAGGACTCATGAAGAGTTTTGTCAGTGTGGCTGATTACATGGAAAAGAGATCATCTTTATCAGTATTATCAAGTTCAAGCACACAGTCATTATAAGGGAAATCTTTCCTATGTACTTAAATGTGAGGCATGAAGTCATCAGGCCACTACTAGAACATCTGGATGAGGCTTTTGAGACATTCATTTCTAGGATGAACAGTGTTATCAGTGTACCTATCCTGCCAAATGATGGGCTCACTGCTGAAAAGATGCAGGTACACCCACACAACTGTAACACTAGGAGCACAGCCTGAGCATATCCAGTCTGTTGGCAATCATCGCTCTGCAGTACACTCAGCAATTCTACTTTCACAAGATAATTTTTTATTTGAAGCAAAATATTTTTTCCAATCTGATAAAAGACACCCTATAAATTTTGTCACAAAGTAACAGGATAATAACGTACCACAGCATGTTTATTCTACTAACTATTCATTACAAATCAGAAAAAAAAATCAAGTGTTTTCACAGGTGAAATGAAGAAATGGGTCTAAGTCAATACATGCCTTTAGAAGATAATAGTCCTCGAATTAATGTGGCAAAAAAAGGAGAGGAGGGAAGATCCTAACTTTGTTTGTCATATTGTAGTGAATAAATAATATTTAAAAATGTTTCTATACATGCAGAGTGAGAAAAATTAAAATCCCTAGTCCCAGTTATACTCAGGGTCACAGGATAACCAAACTACAGTATCTGCCAAAGATCATTCCAGCAAAGGTTTGCTGAATTTCCTATATATTTCCTCTTTTTCTTAAAGGACTGCTTTGTACACCTAAAACTAATACAACTTTATATGTCAATTATATCCCAATTCAAATAAATAAATGAACAAACAAATAAAAGCACTACTAATAGCTTATTACAGCTACATCTAAGTTCCAACTTGCTGCAGTCAATGTTACCGCTCCTCCGATGCATGACATTCATCATCAGAGGCGGGGACATGGTAAGGCCCTGACGGGCCTCTAGACTGGCCTCTGTCTTCTGGGGACCATCCTCCACCCAGGATCCACAGCACATTCTCTTTTGTTAAAGCTGTTTTCCAGAAACAAGGTTCAGTTGTGTATTAGTTATTGCAAGGGACAAATTGACCTATTTGAAATTTAAGAGATGCCAACAGAAAATCATCAAAAACCCCAGGAGAGAAGAGCCCCAGATCAGCAAGGGATTGCTTGGACTAATTTAATCTTAAACATGATCATAGGGAGCTCTGTTACTGCTGATTATGTAACAGAAACTATATATAGGGTTTTCTTTGGCAGTAAATCTATACATTATTTGTTACAAATACTAGAATATTTACTATTATCTAGGGTAATAATAAGAATTGTTTTCCATGTCATAAAAATTCTATCAGTGCTTATTTTGAGCTCAATGTCAAAAATTATGGGCAACTGCTTCTTTCACTCCATGGAGGAGCACACTGTGCAGCCTAAATGTCTTTTGAAATTGGTATATGTCCTCTGGATCCTGCAAACACATTTTTCATATTTTAAATTTGTATTTGCAATGTAAATCTAAGTTATTGTTTAGATATTTTCATATCTAATAATTTCTAAAACCTGCATTTTATTTCCCTTTACAGTTTAAGTCTGAAAGGTGGGACTACAGAATTCAAGTATGATGGAGGGAAGAATGTATTTCAAATACCTAATGTTGCAGCATGCAACATGCCCTATATTTATTGGCCTCTTACTCAGGGTTCATTTTAATTGTTATCTACTCATGCATTCTACAGTACATAATGAAACGCTTCCATT